TGCCAAGTTGCCCAGGCGGGTCTCGAACCCGCGGGCTTAGGCAATCCACTCACCTCAGCCTCCCAAAGGTACGGGATTACAGGCTGAGCCACCGAGGCCAGCTAAGCTCTATTTCTTAAATAGAGTGGGAGGTATGTGGGTGATACTTCTGTTATGCTTTATACATATTGTATTATACAATTATGAAAATTAATAAAAGAAGGAAACAAAAAAAAAAAGAATGAGCAGTTTACCATCTAGGTCCATCCCTCCCCCCACCACCAGCGGGGCTCAGAGCTGTGTGCACATTTGGGGGCAACCCCAAGCTTCTACGAAGTTGACTCCCTGCAGGCACCACTCAGTGGCCTGGCACCCACCGAAGCCCTTCATGGCGGTGTACAGAGCCTCGGCATCCTGGTTGGGGTCGAAGTCTGGGAAGTCATGGATGGAGCCCCGGTACTTGGCACCCTGTGGGCAGGAAAGCAGAGATGAGTGGCTGACTTGGACCTGGACTGGGTTCCAGCCCCAAGCGCAGGTCAACCTCAGGTCAGATGCCCATGCAGGACCAGGCTGAACCCCATACCCTGTGCAATTGAGTGCTGACTACACAAACCCTGGGTAAGTGTGTGACGACTCTTTCACCACCTGCTGCAACCTGTGCAAGGACAGTGCCATTTCCCCAAGGAGTGGGGCTTAGCTAAGGCCCATAGCCCTGTACCACCTTCCATAGAACCCAGGGAGGGTGAAAAAAAGCCTGGCAGAGGCCAGGTGCAGTGGCTCACATCTGTAATTCCAACACTTTGGGAGGCTGAGCCTGGGAGTTCAAGGCGGCAGTGAACTATGATTGCACCACTGAACTCTAGCCCAGGTGACATAGAGAAACTCTGTCTCTAGAAAAATTAAATTAAATTAAAAATTAAAAGCTGAATGTAGGGGATGGAAATGATCCCTGCAACAGTAATAAGAACCCCTCATATTTTTTTTACAGCACTTTACAGTTTACAAAGCCCTTCTGGTGGTGCAGAGTGGCTCACACCTGTAATCCCAGCACTTTGACAGGTAGAGGTGAGAGGACTGCCTGAGTCCACAAATACGAGACCAGCCTGGGCAAACATGGCGAGACCTCGCCTCTACAATAAATCAAAAAAATCAGCTGGGTGTGGTGGCACACACCTGTAATTCCAGCTACTTGGAAGGCTGGAGCAGGATTGCCTGAGCCTAGCAGGTCAAGGCTGCGGTGGCTGTGAGTGAACCACTGTACTTCAGCTTGGGTGACAGAGCGAGACTCTGACTAAAAAAAAAAAAGTCCTTTCATCCCCATGAATTTGATTAGCTTTGGAAACTGCAGAAGCTCTCAAGAATATCTTAAGCAGGGCTAGGTGGCTCAGCCTGTAATCCCGTACTTTTGGGAGGCTGAGGTGAGTGGATTACCTGAGCCCACGGGTTCGAGACCCGCCTGGGCAGGTGAGACCTCATCTCTACAATAAATCAAAAATCAGCCGGGTGTGGTAGCGCATGCCTGTAATTCCGAGCTACTTGGAAGGCTGAGGCAGAAGGATCGCCGGAGCCCAGCAGGTCGAGGCTGCGGTGGCCGGGAGCGGCCACTGCACTCCAGTCTGGGTGACAGAGTGAGACTCCAACTCAAAAAAAAAAAAAAAATCTTAGCAGGGGATGGTGGTTCATGCCTATAACCCCAGCATTTTGGGAGGCTAAGGCTGAAGGATTACTTGAGCCCAGGAGTTAGAGACCAGCTTTGGCAATGTATTGAGACCTCGTCTCTGTAATACAATAAAAAAATCAGCTAGGCGTGGTGTCATGCACCTGTAGTCTTGGCTATTTGGGAGGCTGAGGTAGAAGAATCGCCCGAGCTCAGGAGATAGCAGTTGCGAGGAACCATAATCATGCCATTGCACTCCAGCCTGGGGGACACAGTGAGATCTCGACTCAAAAAAAAGATGACCTTTATGACAGAGATGAAGAAGCCAAGACCAGAGAAGAAAAGTGAAACGTCACACAAAACCCAGCCCTCTTCCTGTCTCCCTCTGCACTCCAGCTTCAGGAACCCTGCAGCTGCCAGCTACTGGAGGTGGGGTCTTGGACCCAGGGCCACCCTCAGTTCAGCACCAAGACTGGGTGCTGTCCCTCTGGGCTGTGAACTGGCATCTGAGGACAAGCTGGCTTGGAGGAAAGAGGGGGCGGAGAGCCAGGGGATCTCAGACATCGAACCTGAACCTGAACCTGAAAGCACAATGGGCTGGTTCACAGCAGAGTCAGATGTGGGTCAGCCACATGGCCCTGAGAAGCATGGAGCCTGGGAGAGCAGTGAGAGCCAAGAGAGTGGAGGACGTTGGAGCCTGACCCCAGGCATGCAGCACGGTAGCAAGGCACTTGGTCTGCGCCAGGCCGGATGCCAAGGGCTAAAGATTCAAGGAGAAAGGGGACCAGATCCCTGTCTTTCATGAGCTCCAGACCCAGTAGCAGGGGAGAGAGAGAGAGAGAGAGAGAGAGAGAGATAGCATGCAAATTACCATAAAGCTTGTAATAAACACCCTCCGACAGAAGCAAGGTCATGTGGGAAACAGTAGGGGTTGACCAAGCTGGGAGGGAAACCAGGAAAGACTCCATGGAAGGAGGAGCTGGGGAGGGAGGCACAGAGAAGTTGCCTTCAAGGAGTGAGAAGGGGACAGGCCGAGCGAGCCCCTCCTGTCCCCGGGCCTCCCTGAGCAGCACTGCAGGGCCCTGGCCAGGCATGTGATGCTCTCTGGTATCTGTCTGCAGAGGCTGGCTCCTCTGAGGTATGCGTGCGTGGGCGCGGAGTTTTATTTAAAGTACTGACAGGGTGGTGACCAGAAAGGGACACGGCCCACTTCCTGCCACCCGGGAATCCCCTGCAATCTGATCCCACCCCTGGGCAGAGAAGGAAAGGGGTGCACATGCCAATACCCGGCCCTGAGCGCCCTGCACACAGGAGGGCGCTTTACCACCAGGGCCTCCATGGTCTTACTCCAGACCTACCGTACAGGAATGTCCTGCTGCCCACTCCACCCATCGGGTGCCAGACCATTCTGCACACTGACAGAATAGCCCAAGGAGGCACTCAAGTATGTGTGCCACAAATATACGAACAAGGAGACAGGACAGGGGTCCTCCAGGAGTTCCCCTTCCAAGCCCTTCCGTCTTCTCTCTGGACCCTCAGCCCGGCAGCATCAAGAAAGCTGAGTGGATAATTTTCGTCTGATGGAGGGAGAAACAAGAGAGTCAAGAGGTTCGGAGTTCAAAGAGCCTTCGGTTCAGCTTCCTGCTTGGTTCTGGCCTCCAGGGAGGACAGGGACCCTGTCGTGAGGAAGACACATCCCTTGAAACCGGGGGAGATGGCAGAGCCCCAGCCTCCTGTGGGTTCAGGCCTGGCAAGAGGCTGAAGGCACCGGGCTGAACGGAGACACCATCATGGCCCAAGATCCAGGATAGGGATGCCGAAGGGGACGGTGGTGAGGGTGCCTTTCCTGGCACGGCTGCTCTGGCAGCACTGTCTCCAGTGCTGGACCTCCTGGGGCCAGTGTGGAAACACAAAGCTTTGAGAGGTGCCACGAGTGGCAGGTCCCTCTGCAGGCTAGCCGACTGCCACAACCACAGCTGTTCTCTCTGCCCGTCTGAGCCAGCCTCTTCACTCACACTAGCACCTGTCTCCTGTCCAACCCCCTCCCGCGGCTAGCCTGGAGTAAGAGGGGGTGAGCCTTGAGAACCACATACTAGAACTAAATAAGGAAGGTCAGTCTTCACATTACCTAGAAGACCCAGATAGAGAATTAGGGGGCCATGATGTCGAGACCACACGACGAGGCAGAGGCCCCGCTGAAAAGGAAGGCTCTTTCTATCAGATCCCATCTCTCTCCCTCCCACCAGATTCCATCAGCGTGGGGGCTGGAGATGAGAACAGACGATGTCACACACCAGGGCTTCTCTCCCAGCCAGCGATGCCCGCATTCCACTCTCTCTGAACACCAAGTTGTTCCCCTGTAGTGTTTGTCCCCACTGTGGGCACGGATCCCTCCTAGGTAGCCTCGTTTCCGTTGTGCCACACTGACCCTGTTTCCTAGGCTATAAATAGACAGCAGTGCTGTCCAATTTTGGGGAACCTCAGTCCTTCTCACACTGAGACACCCACACTTCCAGGGCAGCTGGGGCCACCCACCATTCATTTTTTCATTCAATCAAGCAATATTTACTGAGTATCTGCTAAGTGGTCCCCGAGACACTGAGACCTCAGAGTCTGATAGGGGAGATGCATGACAATTTCAACATTATGGTGAACATTATGCTAAGGGAAATACCAGAGCCAGGAGAGACACTTCCTTCAGAAAGCTCTGAGGACAGGGGCCATGTCTGCCTTACTCACTGATCATTTCTACACTAGCTCAGGCCTGGAGCAACCAGGCACTTCCCGAAGACTTGTTTCATAAATGGACAGATGAATGCCCATGAATATATTCCAAGCAGATCAGAGAAGGCTTCCTGGAGGTGGAGTCTAAGCTGACTCTCCTCCAGGATGAGTAACAGCTGGCCAAAAGGTAGTGGAGGGAGATGAAAGGTAGGGAGGAAGAAAGCAGCACCCAGGAAAGACGAGTGGCAGAGGCCTGGAAGCATGTGAGGAGCACTCAGGAAGGCAAGCCCAGGATCTCCAGCGCTCAGGGCAGGCGCCCAGAGGCACTAAGATCACCTCCTCAGATGGGGAAAGGTGAGCAGGTGAGGCCAGAGTTTGAGGGAAGACGGGGTTCAACAAATCACAGATGCCTGCAACACAGAGGGTGGGGTGAGCCACTGGGCTGCTGGGACACCACCCAGGTCAAGACCTGGCAAAGCGAGGCTCCAGCACCTGGCAGGAAGCACAGTGGCCCACTCACTGCCTGTCCTCACTTTGGGCATCCTTACTGGGCTGAAGCCTAGGGCTTGCCTTTTCTGAAGATGAAAAACAGTTGAATAGCAGCAGGTTTCACTCGGTTCAAATGAATAACTGACCCAAGGCTGACATGTGGAATCTGAATCAGGGTCTTGCTCCATCAACCAGGTTGGAGTGCAGTGGTGCAATCACAGCTTGCTGCAGCCTTGAACTCCAGGCCTCAAGTGATCCTCCCGCCTCAGCTTCCTGAGTAACAGGGACAACGGGTGTATACCACCATGCCCAGCTAACTTGTTAATTTTTATTTTTTGTAGAAATGGAGTCTTGCCATATTGCCCTGGCCTCAAGTTATCCTCTCATCTCGGCATCCCAAAACACTGGATTATAGATGTAAGCCAGCAAGGCTCATCCTAGAAAACTTTTTAGCCTGTTTGCTGGTGTGTGTATTTTTTTTTTTTTTTTTTGAGTTGGGGGTCTGTTTGTCACCCAGACTGGAGTGCAGTGGCACAATCATGGCAACTGCAGCCTCAACCTCCTGGGCTTAGGCGATTCTTCCACCTCAGCCTCCCAAGCAGCTGGGACTACAGGTACATGCCACCATGCCTGGCTAACTTTTAGATTTTTTCTAGAGATGAGGTCTCACTATGTTGCCCAGGCTGGTCTCAAACTCCTGGACTCAAGCAGTCCTCCTGCTTTGGCCTCCCAAAGTGCAGGGATTACAGGAGTGAGCCACCATGCCCCGTCAAAGTTATACTCCAAGTTCAGATTCTTCAAAGCTCACAGTCAAAAAGTCACTGTGATCATGGGATTGTAGCTGCCAGTAGGGGACAAGGAGAAGGAATCATGTCCCTAGGGTGAGGGCAGAGGACACAGAAGTGTGAGGAACCCCCTTTCTTGTTGCTGCCCCACCCCCCTCCGCCTTGCTTCCTCCATATGGCAAGGTCGTCACAGCAGTGTCTGGGAAAGGGGTTGAAGCTGACAGAAGGTGAGGCAGTGCTGTGCTGGGAAAAGGACGTCTACAACCTACACAAGGCTTCATCAAGACACTCACTTAGAGATGCACTCATGTCTGTAATCCCAGTGCTTTGGGAGGGTGAGGCTGGAGGAGTGATGGAGCCCAGGAGTTTGAGACCAGCCCGGGCAACATAGCACGACCCTGTCTCTACAAAACAAAAAACAAAAAAACAAAAAACCACTTCTTTAATTACCAGGGTGTGGTGACTTGTACTTGTAGTCCCAGTTATTCTAGAGGCTGAGTGGGAGGATCTGAACCCAGGAGCTGGAGGCTGTAGTGATCCAAACCTCATGAGTGACAAGATCAGTCTCCTGTATAGCTCTTTGCACAAGAATAATAAAATCTTCCGAGTGATGTCTGATAGATTCGCTATCCTGGGACCCCATAGGACCACAGCCAGTAGCAGAGGGAATGGGGTGCTTAGCACGTCTAGAGACACAGAGGTGGCCCCTCAAATCATCAAGGCCCGAGTGTCCCACTGTGAATCATCGTCACTCCAGCTCCGTGAACTTTTACCTCTAAGCTGCATGTGTGTAGCTGTGCCAGCTTCTTCCAGCCTCTACCCCAAATGCCAGCAGGTAGGTTCCTGACTGCAGGGACCCAAGACCAAGGCAGGGGTGAGCAGAGCAGGGACTTTCCACCCTGAAATATTTAGCAGGTCCTGATGCCAGCTGGTGAGCGGCCTGGGCCCTGGGGCTCTCGGGCTGCCCCCGAGGCCCTGGTTGAAGCAGGAGTCCCAGCGGCCTCCTGGGAGCCGAAGTGACATCCTGCAGAAACACGGCTACCTGACTGCTGAGACTCCACCTGAGAGCTGCCTGGACCAGACGCCACCAGGGTCTCACCTCCGCAGCGCCTAAGAGTCCCAGGCAGAGCCCCTGCCTGCCCTGCCCCGTCCCCCAGATATTTCCAAGTTCATCACCACACTCAAACCCAGAACATCCCCATGACACTGAGGCCACCGTGACTGCCTCCCAGATCCTATGACACCACACCATTTCTCCATGTCTTTGGGTCTCATATTTCCCTCTCCTGGAAGGAGAGATGGGAACAGCAGCACAGTCAGCACAGGGGGGAAGACTGGGTATGGTCGGGCTGGAGGGGAGTGAGCCGTCGTCTGCTGTATGTACATGTGCTGGGGGCGGGCTGCGGAAGCAGGGCTGGTGATGGAAGCAGCAGATACAGTGGGAGGAAGCCCTTCCCAGCACCTCCAGGACTATCTTCTGCAACCCCCTCCCTGCCAGCCTCTGCACTCAAGCACCCAGATCACCTTGACTCCCCTAATCCCGTGTCGTCTCCCCTCTGGCCTTCTGTGCCAGCCATGCCTACCTAGACAACTCTTGGCCCCTGAGCAGGTCTCCCAAGGCAGCTGTCCCTGATCCCTCAAGCCGGGCGGGTACCCTCCTGCATGTCCCCAGAGCTCCTTTCTTGCCCCCACCAGAGCACTGTGCATGGGGGACTCCAACTCATCCCCATGGGAGGCCCTAAGACCCTGTCACCTGGGACTCGCTTGCAGAAGGTCAAATGGCCCCCTGGTCCAGGCAACAAGAAAACACAAGCCAGCCAGGCACACGGCATGGTCCAAGAGCACTGGACCAGGAGTCCAAACATCTGCGCTGTGTCCTGGCCTCTGGGCTCTCCCAGGGCCTGACCCGTCCGCTCATGTCATCTAGAGTCCTGCAGCTCAGATGCCTTCAGGAAGCAGCTCTAGGATGACCACACTGGGGAATGCAGAACTGCAGAAGTCCCACCTTGGATTTCTGCCCATAACCACACACACTTTCTCCTTCTGATAGGAGGCCACATGTGCAAAGCACACTCCTCTGTGGCTCAGAGGGGGGGCCACGCTGGGACTTTTTGAGGTCACTGATCCTGTGACACACGGTGCTTATGACACACGGTGCTCTTCAACGGCTGTGACCGTGCTCTAGGCCCAGCTTCTGGAAGTCAGGGTGTAGCTTAGTGACCTCTGAGCTCTACCACCTCGCAAGGGAAAGTGAGGCCCACAGGAAGGAAGTCAAGAACCCACAGCCCCTGCATTCATATTCCTTGGCCAGGAGTTCTGGGTTGGAGCAAGGGCCGACTGAAGAGGCATCCTTCAGTTTCATGCTCACACTGACCATTACTCTAAGGCCCAACAGGTCAACCCCAACAGAGTGACTCCTGGTCCTCACCACAGACAGAACCAACCTTGGCCATACAGGAGTAAACGCTCTGACATATCTCAAATTCTACTCCCAGTAGAACAGTCAGATACAGGGAAGACTGAGGTTAGGGTCTCCCAAGCCAGGGAACTCTAATCCCAGATGGGTGTGACAGGAACATTACCATCTCCAGAGCAGAGAGGCCCCTCTATCACTTTTGTTTTTCTTGAGTCAGAGTCTCACTCTGTTACCCAGGCTGGAGTGCAATGGCACAATCATGGCTTACTACAGATTCGACCTCCTGAGCTCAGGTGATCCTTCTGTCTCAGCCTCCCGAGTGGCTGGGATTACAGGCATGAGCCACCACACCTAGACTTTATTGCTTTTTGATCTGTCTAGAATCCATTTCCTTTCCTGGGGAGCCACTCTCTGGCCATGCAGGTCAGGTGGGACCAACTCCCCCTCCTCCTGGTTCCAAGAATGAGCAGGTTACCCAGGCCCGGTCATCGTGGACCCGACCTGGGCTTTCCCTTGGAATCGCTGGGAATAAGTTACACTGTTTTCCCCTGGGCTGCCAGACAGCGGAATGGCAGCCTGGGGTAGCTGAAGGTTCGTGTGCCGAGGAAGAGCCTCCCCAGGAGTGAAGCCACCAGGGGAAGCCCAGCTCACAGAGGCAGAATCCCGACACAATTATTTGGACCCCTGGATGCAACCAGACCTGAAGCCCTGGGCTTCTCAGTCCTGTGAAGCAATACACATCCTTTTCTGCTCAGGATAGCGTGTGTTATATGACTTCTGGTGACCTGCAACTGAAGAGGTGTGATTTGGGACAGGAGAAGCAGAGCCTGAGAACCTTTCCTACTCCTTTCAAACTGGAGGTGCTTGGGTCTCTGCAGCAGGCCTAGTGACCTCAGGGGGATCCCAGGCCCAGGGAGCCAGAGCACCCCCCCCCAGGAAAGAGCGGCCCCTTACCTGCAGCTTCGCCATTGTCTCAGGTTCTGCAGCAGAGTCCACTGTGGAGAAGAAAGAGAGTCGTGAGACCCACTCTGCCCCTCCACCTTTCCCTAGTCCTCACCTGCCATTCTCCAGCTACTGGCAGCCCTGCAGGTTAAAGCTCACCCACAGATCTGGCTCAGGGCCAAGCGTATTTGTTCATGTGACAATGGACAGGCTAGACGGTGTCCAGACATTCACACCAGGATGGAAAAGGGGCTTGGGACTGACGGAGGGAGCTGGGAGGAGAAGGGAGGGCATGACTGACCCATCCAGGGCTGCTCAACTCCTCCAGGCTAAGCGAGGTCCTGGCCTGACACTGTCTCGCTTACTCCTCACAGCAATCCTTCCAGCCCTCAGATCCACCCTCCCTTTTTTCTGAGTTGGAGTTTCACTCTTTGTCACCCGGGCTGGAGTGTAGTGACACTCACCACCAACACAGCCTCCACCTGCTGGGCTTAGGTGATCCTTTCTGCCTCAGTTTTCCAAGTAGCTGGAACTACAGACACACACTACCACATCTGGCTAATTTTTGTGATTTTATTATAGAGACGCGGTCTCACTAAGTTGCCCAGGCAGGTCTTGAACCTCTGGGCGCAGGCAATCCTCTCACCTCGGCCTCCCAAATTGCTGGGATTACAGGCTCAGCCACCGTGCTCAGCCCTTTTTTCTATAGAGAAGGAAACTGAGGCTGGGGCATTGCAATGGATGATTCAAGGTCACACAGCTTTGAACCCAACCATTTCCAGATTCCAGTCCACGCGTGCCCTCCTTCCGCATCAGCAAGGACAGTCTCAGATCCCAGAGCCTGACGGTCTGCAGAGACCGGGGTTCCCGGCAGCCTGCTGTGGTATCTGAAGGGCCAGCTTTCCCAAGTCTGTAAGCCTTTATTGAGCACCTACTCTGAGTTAGGCGCTGGGGATACAGAGTATGAAAGATATTTGGCTCCTCTGAAACTTATGCTGATGGAGAATAGCAAATGCATCTACCAGGCTGAGAGAATAACTAAGGAGAAAGGACAGAGCTTGGTCAGGAGAGCAACATAGTGATACCAGGTGGAGGGGCCAGAGGGTGTCATGAGTGCACATAGGGTAGGCTTGGTGCGCTGATGTGGTAGCAGGAAGCGGGTCCAGGGAGGTTGTAGAGTCAGGCGGCCAGTGCTTGAGGCTACATGAAGATGATTTTTCTGATGGGACAAGGCCACTATGAAGGATTTGAGCAAACAGGACACATGATCTCACTGAAAATGGGCAAGGAATAGGGGGCTGGGTGTCAGGAGACAGGGTCTGAGTGGAGGGTCAAGGGCACATGAGTTAAAGACAAGTGAAAAAAGGGATGTAGCTGGCGTGAAAAGGGGAAGGGAAGGCGGAACCAAGGTACACTCGGCAGGAAGGCGAGAGGAAAGCGAGGCAGTCATCCTAGGACGGGGGAGGAGACACAAGGGACCTTGCTTCTGTTTTCAGCAGTCCTGTGCAATCCGACCTCTACACCATGTCGAGGTATCGCTTTCGAGAAGTGAAAATGACAGGGCTGGCATGGTAGTTCACACCTGGAGGCCGAGGTGGGAGGATCACATGAACCCAGGAATTTGAGGCCACAGAGGGCTATGATTGTGCCACTGCGCTCCAGCCTAGGTGAAAGAGAGAGACCCTGTCTCTAAAAAAATAAAATTTAAAGATAAATAAATAAAAGTAAAAACAACAAAGTCGATCGAACTTAATAAGACCTACAAGGAACAGACCTAGAAGAGAGGGTAGACATCCTGGAGATCTTCCAGTTCAGCCCTTTCCTGTTTTCTACGTGTTCTCCACTGCCCCTAAATTTAGGGGACATCAGTCCTGACCTCAGTCCATCATCCTGCTCTCACACTGGAGTCACTGGAGTCGACAGGCCACGGTGGCGGGAACATGGGCTTTGGAGTCAGACCCACAGCCCTGGGCTCACGTGCTTGTCTGATCACTTATTAGCCACGGGCCAGGGCTTGTCGCTCATTTTTGAGTTCAAGGCTATCGCAGGCACAAATCAGGCTTTCCCTCTCCAGACTTCCTGCTGCTGGAGGTGAGACATGAGTGATGCCCAGGGCAGAGCACGAGAGGCCAGGTTCGAGATCCGATCTTGGTTAACCAGCTGGGCTGGTGGGAAGTTGAGGACAGGGGCCCTGACGTGTTTGCCCTTGTGTCCCCACTGCCTGATTACGAGTTTCCCAAACTGTAGTCAGCAGAGGACAGACATGAGATGGGGTTTGGGCAGAGAGAACAGAACTGTTTGCAAGAACAGCTCAGCACAGCTCAGCTCAGCTCAGCTCAAGGAGGCCCTGCTGTCTCCCTGGCAACCAGGGCCTGGGTACAAATGTGCGGCTCTCACCAGGAAATGGAAACTGCACCCCTCCCCCACATCTACCCTAGGATGGGGCTGGAGGCCAGCATTACTGAGGCTTCCCCAGGCCTGGGGGGTGCTAGGGGCAGAGGGCAAGGGGAAGCCCAAGGCCAGTAGGAAACCAGGGACTGGATGAGGACCAGGGAGTCCATGGACACGGGGAGGAAGGGCTGAGGTCTGTCACTTGCACCTCCAGCCTTTGGCCTGGCTGCTGGAAACTTCAGCTGCTGGCTACAGCCCAGGCCTATCTGGATGAGAGCCCCTTTCCAAGGAGAGATGGTTCCAAGGAGGGCCCTCTGAGGCTTTGGGAAAATACTCAGCTCCGAGGGCAGTTTCTGTGTGCCTTATGTGAGCACGCATCTTGTGTGTATATAAAAAGCAAGCTCCTTCCAGAACTAGATGTTCAGACTGCGGTTCAAAGGGTCCATCTCTCTGCCAATTCCAACAGCCCCTCCCCTGGGGGCTCTGGAAAACTCTGGAGCAAACCATATATTTTTCTGGCTTTAAGAGGAGTGATCCCTCCCAGAGTAACCCATATCCCCCTGCTCAGATGGGCTGAATGTCTTATACCCAGTGTTTCAGAATCCCAGGAAGGCCTAACCAGCCACTGCTCCAGGCCCCTCATCCTACAGATGGGGTTAAGGCATCTCAGAAAGGGAAAGTGGCCTGCCAGGGCCAGGCAGCAGCCAACATCTTCGCTTCATGCCCCCCCACCCCCTCCTAACAAGCCCCTAGGCAGCCGTGGGCCCTTTGGCAAGGGGGCATCAGGAAGAGGCCAAGAACAAGACTCTGGCTCCGGTTCCCAGTCTGCCCCCTGTAATCTCAGTCAAGCCAAGTTCCCTCTCTGGGCCTTAGTTTCTTTATCTACAAAATGGGGACAATATAGCTCTCCCTGTTTGGGAAGATCTGCAGTGGATGTGAGAGGCTTTTAGAGATTTCATCCAGGGATTTTCACAGCAATATAGCCATCCAAGGGAGTCATGTTCCAGGCCACGGGATTCTTCCCCACAATACACAACTTCCACCATCTTGTTTTTTTTTTTGAGTTGGAGTCTCACTCTGTTGCCCAGACTGGAGTGCAGTGGCCACTCCCAGTCACCGCAGCCTCGCCTGCTGGGCTCCAGCGATCCTTCCGCCTCAGCCTTCCGAGTAGCCGGAATTACAGGCAAGCGCTACCACGACCGGCTGATTTTTTGATTTATTGTAGAGATGAGGTCTTGCTGCCCAGGCGAGTCTCGAACCCGTGGGCTCAGGCAATCCACTCACCTCAGCCTCCCAAAGCGCGGATTACAGGCTGAGCCACCGAGCCCAGCTGAGAGCGTACTTTTGAGGGGAGGAAGAAGACGTTGAGTGCAAGGAGATAAAACCAAGTGTGGGGCAGAGCAATTTAAGAAAAATCAGGGCTGGACACAGTGGCTCAGCCTGCAATTCCAGCACTTTGGGAGGCCAAGGCGGAAGAATCGCTTGAGGCCAGGAATTCAAGATCAGCTTGGGCAACGTAGCAAAACTCCATCTCTATGAAAAATTAAAATATAGTCAAGCATGGTGGTGCACGCTTGTAGTCAGGTGGGAGGATCACCTGAGCCCAGGAGTTAGAAACTGCAGTGAGCTATGATCGCACCACTGCACTCCAGTCTGGGTAACAGAGTGAGAACCTGTTTCTAAGAAAAAAATTAACAAATTATCTGAAAGATCATGCAAAAAAAAAAAAATCACCCAGACCTCTGCCTTGGAGGAGTGCCCAAGGACTATGATCTGAGCCATGTCACTTCTTGGCCCATAAACCTACAAGGGGGCCTTTGACACCAGTCTCTTAGTTCGGCATTCAAGGTCCTTGGTTCTCCTTCCTGACCTCTCTGCCTCACTTTCCCCTCTTCACCCTCTCACCCCCTAAACCAGGAATGCCTTCCACCAGCGTTTGCTATGCAGCCTTCTAGCCTCTAGCCCAGTGCTTCTCGATTCTGGCTTCATTAATTCAACCTGGGGAGTTTTCCAAAATTACCAAACCATAAGGTCAACCCCCAGAGATTCTCACTCAACTGTTCTGAGATGAGGGCTTTGGTGATTTCTAAAAAGTTTCTTAGGTGAGCCCAATGCCCAGTCAAGGAGGCTGAGAACTACTGCTCTCTGCTGGTTCAAATGTCACCTCTTCCAAGAAGCCAGGAGGGATTTCTCTCTCTTGGGATCCCCTTAGAGGTCTGATACCACCTTCCTTTGCCGGGCAGCCATTGAGGATTTATCATTCCTGCCATTAGATGGCGGCTACTAGCCCCCAAGGCATTATAGGAAAAAAAAATCTACACTTCTGACTCTAGCCTCTCATTGTCATGAGCTACTTACTGTTCAGTAAGTTGCAGATACCTGATAGTAACACAAAGTATTTCTAATACAAACTCACTCCCCACTACCTGGTAAAGGTCCAATTGGCCTTCCAGACCCTCAGGTGGAAAAACCAGTTTTGAGTCTGAGTATTCCTTCCAACAGAAAGGCAGCTCCAGGCTCTCTTTCGAGCTGGTTATAACATCTGCCCGGTGTGGTCATTGATTAAGGAGCAGAATAAAATCTTTAGCACACGATTATCTTCCTATCTTCTTGAGTCACGATTTTGCCCTTTTTAGGAAAATATGTGCCTCTTGGA